GGCGCATCCCGAACGGACCGCCGGCTCCTTACATGTAACACGAGCATGATAGAATATATCCCGTGCGAGATAATCACCCTCCATAATCTCCGCTAACAAACACATTCCGTTCACTGCGCAGCGGACGGCGTCACGTACCGAGACCAGCCGTGTTCCGATGATCAGGACGACGAGCGAGAGCCCGACGGTGGAGAGCAGCACAGAGAGGCGCGCGCCGCCGCCGGTGGCGTCCGGGCCGGCCGCGTACCCGTCCAGCAGCGCCCACAGACCGGCCGGCAGCTGCCGAGCACGGGCTCCGTTACGCGGCGTGGCTACAAGGCATTCCGGGCGTCTGCGCCGGGCGTCACGTCTCAACGGGAGACTGCAGCGCGCAGCTCTGCCACACACCGGCCTTGTGGCGGGAGGCCGGCTACGGTCGGTTCCGCAAACACCATCACCACCGTCCTGTACCCGGACGGCACTCACACACCAGCCTTTATTACGCTGCGCTCGAATGGTACACGACCACTTCACATCCTTGAGGTCTCATCGTCAGGCAGCGCACAGCGCATACATTTGACTGATTCGTCCACCACTGCTGCGTGCAGCCGACAGTGCCATATCGAGTGCGAATAGCTCAAACACGACAGTGTGGGGCGAGTGCGCGGTGAACAGCAGCTGTGCACGCTTCCCCGTCCCCGCTGGGAGCACCGCTCCGCCCGGCCATCACCACTCACCAGACCGGCGGCCACCTCCTCGGCCAGGCCGGCGGCGGCGCCCTGCTCCGGCGCGCCGTGCCAGGCGTCGCCGTACGCGCTCTCGCCGTACGCGCTGTCGCCGTACGTACTGGACGGCTGCGAGTACGGACTCTCCGACTGCGGCTCGGCGAACGGCTCGTCCCCGACCGGCGCGGCGTCAGTCTCGACGGCCGGCTCGGCGGCCGGGGCCGCGTACGACGGCCGGCGGTAGTCGCGCGACAGCGGGTCGTAGCTGGGCAGCGCGGTCGGGCTAGCGTCGCCTGGAACCGACCGCCGAAGTCGTGAGCCGGCCGCAGGCGCACCAAGCACCGACTTGGAACGCCTGTGAGCGGGACGGGGGAAGCTTTGAACAATGGATGGAACTGCTGAAAATCCGGACTGTGCTACAGTACGCAGTCGTAAGATGGAACAACATGGCTTGAAGCTCATTACCATCAGCTGGTGCTTCGGATGACACATATGAGGGATATAATGCAAGCCTCCAATGTTCCGACATGCCCCGATTGCTTGCTCCAGTAGCCTCACGTTCAGTTCATGCTCAACTACGGTGCATGCACTGCATACGCATAGCAATACGCGTGCACAGAAACCCTAAAAAACTGAGGTTCCAAGTGCGCCTGAAATTTGTGTGCATCGGTCAAACTCAGCATTACCCAACATTCGTCTCTCTTACCACAGAAGATGCCCGCGCCACCAACAAGCACGCCAACTATCGAGCCAGCATGCACCGACTGGCAGCCCCCCGCCAGCGTGCCGTGAGCGGGCCGGACGGCAGTGCGGGTGTTAGTGCCGGCGGCCGTGCGTCCACGCGGTGCGTCCCGGCCCTCACCCAGAGGTGGCCGCCTCCGCTTCAGCTCGCGCACCAGCCGGCGCCGCTCGCGCAGCAGGCCGCGCTCGGCATCCAGCCCGACCGACGCTGCAGCGGCCTCACCGGGCTCCCCACATTCCGACTCGGCATCAGACGGAGCTGTCAGCCGTTCCTCCGACTCAGGCTCGGCACCGTCCAACGACGCTGCCTCTTGTTCCTCCGACTCGGGTTGAGCACCGCCAGCTGGCGCTAAGTGTTCTTCTGCATCAGACTCGGCAGTGTCCACGAGGCTGCGAATCCATCTTCCACGTCAATTTGGCACCTTCACAAGCATCTGTTTGTTCATGCTGCTCAGACTGATCAGTGTCGGGCAAGGCTGTCGTCTGCCAATCCGACTCGGACTGGACGCCACCATCTGATTCTGTCCCCTGCCCGTCCGAGCCCGGCTCCGTCGTAGTGCGCTCCGACAGCCCACCCCAACGCCGTCTGGAAGTTCCCCACCACCTGGGTTCTGATCCCCATCCAGCGCTCCTTGCGCGACCTCTTGTGTCCTCCCATCCACCCACCACACCTGCGGACATCAAGCGGTTCTCCACGTGTCCTGTCGTCACAGGCCGACTGTCTAAAGCCGCCCCATCGTCGTCTCCGTGCTGGCCGTCTAGAGCCGCCCCATCGCCGGCTCCGTGCTGGCTGTCTACGGCCGTCTCATCATCGGCTCCGTGCTGACTGTCTAAAGCCGCCCCATCGTCGGCTCCGTACTGGCTGTCTAAAGCCGCCCCATCGTCGGCTCCGTGCTGGCCGTCTAAGGCCGCCCCATCGTCGGCTCCGTGCTGGCTGCCTAAAGACGCCCCATCGTCGGCTCCACGCTGCATGCCGCCTCGGTGTTGCGTGTCGGCTGTTGTTCGCTCTCCGCCCGGAGCAGACTGTGTGGTGCTCAGACCGACCGCTGCGTCGGGCGTGACCCCATCCGGCCGACCATCACCGCCTGGGCGCCCGTCACCCCCTCCAGTTCCCAGGGCCGAGACCTCCCGCACAGCCTGCCCCTTCGACAGGATCTCGTCACCGCCATGCCCCGGCATCGGCACCCCCTCGGCGGTGTCCTGCAGCGCCTGCCGTCCCGGCCCCGGGACCTCCGAGGCATCGCTCTCCCGGGCAGAGTGCCGTCCGGCGGTCAGGACGGGGGCAGGCGGCAAGCTGCCGTCGTCCTCCGCGGGCTCCGCTGAGCGCTGGTCCCCCGTCTGCGGCGCGACACTGCCCTCGTCGGCTGCTGGCGGGACCACGTTCCCGGTCGAGACGGGAGCGGGCGGCAAGCTGTCGTCGTCCTCCGTGGGCTCCGCTGAGCGCTGGTCCCTCGTCTGCGGCGCGACGCTGCCCTCGTCGGCTGCTGGCGGGATCTTGTTCCCGGTCGAGGTCCCGGCCCCAGGACCGACGGATTGCGCGTGCGGCTGAGAGGCGTCCACACCAGACGTCTGGGACCCCAGATGGGAGGCTGGCGAGAGCTCTACACGGGAGTCAGGGGAGTCCCCCTCACCGGCGGCCGGCGACGGCGCGGCCCGGCCGCTCGCAGACGCCTGGGACCCCAGCTGGGAGGCCGGCCAGTGTTCCACACGGGAGTCAGGGGAGTCCCCCTCACCAGCGGTCCGCGACGGCGCGGCGGTCAGCCCCGGCGGGCCGGGGATGCCGAAACCTGTGCGGACGGTGTGCTGGTCAGACCGGCGCGAGGGACACGCCTGTAGCGTCAACCGCCACCGCCACCGCCACCGCCACCGCCACCACTACCACCACCACCATTATCGACACTGACACCGTCATCAGCCGATCACCAGGCCGAATTCAACGCCGCTTCCTCAGCCTGCGCGGGAGGACTGGCACCGATTACAGTGGAAGTACAGAGGATTGTGCACCTGGGTGGAGGAGGCGAGGGACATTATGCACTGTACAGATCACGAGAAAACATCCACTTACCCGACCACCACACAGCAACATACGGGGACGAACAACACCAAAGCACCTGCCCCGAGGACTCACTGCATCACCGGCTCAGCGCCCGTATGTCTGCTTTGGCCTGACCGCAGTATCGCCGGTTGCAGGTACTCACCGGCCGCCGGCTGCTCCACGGGGTCGGTCGGCTGGTCTTCTGCGGCAGGAGAGGCCGACTCTGGCCCGGCCCCGGACGCCGCCCCCAGGCCCGGCTGCTCGGCGGCCGGGTCGGGCGCCGCGCCCGCATCCGGCGCCTCGCTGGCGGCAGCGGCCGAGTCGGAGTCGGAGGCCGTGTCGGCAGCGGCAGCGGAGGCCGTGTCGGTGTCAGAGGCCGTGTCGGCAGTGGCGGTGGCGACCGTGTCGGCAGCGGCGGCGGCGGCCTTGTCGGCAGCAGCGGGCTCGGCCAGCGGCGTCGAGCCGGCGCTGTCCACGGCGTCGGTACGCGGCGACGAGTCGGGAGCCGGCGGCAGCGACACAGCCGGCTCCTCAGTCGGGGCGACGCCGGCGCCCGGCCCATTCACCTGCACCACCGAGCCCCAGCCGACCGGCTGGGCCGCACTCCGCGGCGGCGCGTCGCCTCCGTCTCGACCCCTGCCACCAGCGGCGGCGGTGGGGCGGTGGTCTCCGCCCGGTCCGGGACCGGCGTCACGGCCGGCGGCGGTGGCATGGCGGCGGGCTCCGCCTCACCCGGGGCTGGCGTCGTGGTCCCCGCCGGCGGTGGGCTGGACAACGGGGTCGCTCCGCCCTCCAGCGCCGACGACACGCCTCCGGCCTCGCCGACGTCCGCCGCGTCTCCCGCCACGTCATAGCCGAGATACTCGTCTTCGTAATCGGTCGTCATTTTATCGCCTGGAAAGTCTCCGCCGGTGGCTTCGACCTCCTCCCCGCCGTTTGCATGCTCTGCGCCCTTCGGCACCGCTTCCAGATCGGCCTTCTGCGAGCCGTCAGTCGGCGCCGGCTTGGCGTCCACGTTCGGACCTTCCGCCTTCTTTTCCGCAGCCATCTCCGGAGCGTCAGCGGCGGTCGGCGGCGTTTGGTGCGGCTCAGCAGCCTGCGATGGCACGCCGGCGGCCGGCTCCGCGCTCGCGCTGCCGAGGGCCCCCGGAGCGCAGCGGCGCCGTCTGGCGACGGCTGCAGCTGCTGCGCCGAGGCACCCACCACGGTGCCGAACAGATTCCGGTGTCCGCCGCTGGCGTCCAAGCCCGGGGCGCCGCTCAGCTGCAGATGCGGGTGCTGCTGCAGCAGCTGACCGGCCGGCTGGAACGCCGCCGCCTGCTGCTGATGCTGCTGCTGCTGCTGAGCCAGCGACAGAACCGATGGCGTCTCCTGGCGAGCCACAGGCAGGTCGGCCAGGGGCTGATGCGCGGTGGGATGACCCTCACGTGACTGCGTGCTGTTCTGTTCGGGTGTGCTCGGCTCGATCCCTGGCTGTTGGGTGCCCCCTACAATCGCTGGCTGGGACTGTGTGTCGGGTTGGGACCCCACCTGGGCTGGCGTGGCACGATGAACCACCTGCTGGCCTTGTGTACTCTGCCCGGCCCCTGTTTTTTCCGGCGTGTTTGGCAACACTGGGGCTTGCTGTTGGGTGTAAGGCAGAGCGTCTGGTTGCTGCTGCAACTTAGGCTGGGTTCCAGGCTGCTGTTCCACTGGCTGCTGTTGCATGCCTGGTTGGACCCCTGGCTGCTGTTGCATGCCTGGCTGGACCCCTGGCTGCTGTTGTATGCCTGGCTGGACCCCTGGCTGCTGTTGCATGCCTGGCTGGACCCCTGGCTGCTGTTGCGTGCCTGGCTGGACTCCTGGTTGCTGTTGCATGCCTGGCTGGACTCCTGGTTGCTGTTGCATGCCTGGCTGGACTCCTGGTTGCTGTTGCATGCCTGGCTGAGCCCCAGGCTGCTGTTTGACAGCTGGCTGGGTGACCGGCTGTTGCTGGCTGGCCGCGAGCAGCTCCGCCTGCTGCTGCTGCCGCCGCTCCCGCAAGGTACGCAGGTACTTGTGATGCCAGTCAGGGGCACGCGTTTTCAACTTCACCTTGCGGTCGCGCCACTCGTGGCTGTACGGATACAGGGGTGTGGCCGGCCGGGCGGCCGGTGGCGGCGGCGCGGCTGGCCGCGGACGTAATGCCTCCTCCACCTCCACCAGCTCTGTTGCTCTCTTTTCTATTCGCTGCTCTCGCACAAATGTCTTGGGTACATAACCTCGGACTCCATTCACCTGTCAACACAAAGAGCTTGGCTTAAAATCATCTTTGGGGTTGGTTGTTCTGTGGTTCCACATTGAGTAAGGCATCCTTTTCTTACTGAATGTGTCTGCCCTGGAGTTGTTCATCATGCTCTGACTGACATAGGCAGAGAACAATTTGGTCACATCCAACCTATGCATACAATAAACCTAACCTAAATGTCAATGCCTTCAGGCTTGAAGATGCATGGCAAGCTCAGTCAGGTTAAGCAATATTTCAGAGGCTTTTCTTCAAGCAATATCAAGCTAATGGTGCAAGGTATTAAGTCCAACATAGAACAAGACATACCCTAGACTTCTTGCAGCTTTTTCATGCTAATGTATACCTAACCAGGAAAATCTATACAGCTGTCAAAAACAAAATGCTGCAAAATTACAAAACACCAGATCAGTGTTGTTTCATACAATGCCACTTACCTCCACACCTAACAAACTGGGATTGTCTCCAGCTGGGTAGCTGTATATGATGACCCTGTCATTGGGCTTCATACTGAGCATTCCCTTTTCCCTTGCTGCATAACGCATCAGGGAAAACCCGTGTGATACAGGAACTGTGGAAGAGATAGCCCAATCACTAGTTAAAGGAATGGAGCACACGAAAAGTTTTCCAATGCCACTTTTTATATAACATTCATGGATACTTATTCTAAAAGGCACCTTTTCACTCACAACTAACACCAAATAAATCATTGCCATTTTTATACATCTTTAGTGATAACTTTATTCACTGGAACACTGTCATGCAGGCACAACTACAGAGAAAATGTCTCTGACAAAAACAATGTGTAGACAATAACAGTTCAAAACTAATGCAAGGTAAAATAAAAACCTTTGCCAAAAAGAAAGTTGTATAAAAGGGCTAGCATGAAGTAAATCCCAAATAGATTTAGCCCAAAACCAGTGTGGAAGTCTTGTAAGTGATGGCAGTAAGATGAACAAAAAGCTGCAGCAGCATTTTACCACATTGAAGTCCTCTGATTCAAAATGTTAACTCCGCCTTAGGCTTCTATCAAAAAGTGACATGCTTAAGCATTGATGATGAAGTTGCCATCTTCACTTTTTGTGAAAGATTCACATTTTGTATGACAAGCCGGCCCATATTTTGCTGCCAATACAGCAAAATAATTCCAGTTTCAGTAATGTTTACACAAGCAGCATAACTCCAGTATTCTTTGCCTAAAAAATGTGATGTACCTGGGGTCCATGCAACATTTTACTTTTTGAGACCCTTGCAATATTTCATGCTGGACCTAGTATCACCAAATTCATTTCAACTATCAGCCATATTTTGTGAGGCTGACCTACATCTAAATATATACTGAAACATCCTGATTTTTATGGCAAATGGCATCTAAAGGAAGTTGGTTTCTTACTTATAACATTCATCCATGCTTTCTGTCACTGCTCACAAGGTGTAACTTTAGCTAAGTGGAGATGTAGTGCTGCACTCATTATGCATAGCAACCATTGTATCCTGCATCAAAAACAATATTCCTTAGATGTGCTATCATTTTAGCTCAGGCCACATCAGTTAAGTACTAAATTTCAATCCTAAGTACATGTGCCATTAACATGCATCCTTGATACATCTAAGCATTACATAACAATAGGAACTATCATGAATAAATATAAAAATTCATCATAGCCAGTGCTCTACTCTAGAAGTACAGGAGGTATGCACAGCAAAAGTATAGAACCATTCATCTCAAGTGAACAAAAAAATATGCTGTAACATATGTTGACAGGGACACTTTTCCCTAAATGCTTTGTGTGAGGTAGTTGCAACACTAGCACCAGTGAGCAACACATAAATAACTTTCATTGAACTTCAGAGATGGTGTATCATCAAACATTCATTAATTCACCTACATGCACCGAGTAACAACAAAGTGAGAGAACAGCACAAGGCATTTCCGGCGCAGCCAGCAGGCATAACAGCCCACTAAAATAAGTCAGCAAGGAATACCACTTACCATTGCATTCTAAATTTGCGCACAATCTATGGCTTGATAATTTCGAGTATATGACACCTATATTACACACGAGAACTACAAAATACAGAGCCCACACACCACGGCACCACTCCATGATCGTGTGTGCCCTGTTGGAACAGTGCTTCCACATTATGTTTGGCAAAATAACAAGTGAAGTGAAAGTATTTCAAGGTTGGCAGTCCCGAGCGCTAATCTTCACTACGGTTTTATCTCGTCACATCATGGCAAACTGACACATTAATCGACCACAATTCAGTTGCCCTCCATCCACTCGGTTCCGCCGCCATAAAGCCAATGTGTAGAGCTCAACTAACGCAAAAGTGGACAACATGCACTTGACAGGCCAAAACAGTAGTCCAGAACAGATCTTAATGGTCTTCAGACTGCATCTGCAAATGGGTTTCAATTTATGCTTGCCTTCTTCGCCATAAAATTTCTGCAGGACTGCAAAGCAGGCTGAATGCTGTGGATTGTTACTTAGGGGTGTCACCGTGGGATCTCCCATTGCGAGATGCCGGGCGGCTCAGTACAAAACGTAACGACCTATCTGACACCAACGACCTTCAGCCTTTTACGCTTACGATCTTTCGGCTGTGAGCAAAGCGACCCTCTAACCACTTTCGAAACGAAACGAAAAATGACGAAACGGAACGAAATGAAGGTTCGACGCAGTCCAAAATTGTGTATCTTTTAGGATGAATGTTATTACACTTTGCTACCATATCACAGCTCACTATATATAAGATAACATGGCGCGCTTGAGTCGAATCAGGACAATGCAAGTTTGCGGAGCCAGGGTTGCCTTTTAAGGGTTCCGGACAGCCAAACTCTCGGGGCACGCACGAGTCTCCAACAGCAGAAGCGATAGCTGTTCCAACAAGCCACGGTGTTCAAACTGTCCCCTTTCTCATTTGTTCGCTTGTTGCACCGGCGACCCGACCGCAGAACCGGGCGTGGAGGCTGTGCTGCCGACTCCAGACGCAGGAGTGGCCCTGCTAGCCGGTAAACAAGGGGAACGACCATAAACAACTGAATGCTCACAGTTGACACTTCAAGAACGGATGCGAACAATTGCTACATGTTGGAACTCTGTTGTTGTTGGTCTTGTGGCGCCACAAATGGACTGGCTTGGCACGGAAATAGATGACAGTGCTCCCACCTTTCTTCCATTTATTGGCCTGTTACAATTGTGATGGCTGGTCCCACCCAATGCTAATTTTATGTAATATGATTGATAGTGAACGCTTCTCTGTTGTGTGTTTATGGATGTCACAGGGAAAGCTATGAATGACTCACTTTCATAATCATTAACTCACATTTGTCTTGAGGAGCAATATATCCCAGGCATCCACACACTTTAGGGTGTTCTATAGGTCTTATGACACACCTTTATGTATACTTGTTTATATGTACCAAACTGTAGCAAACATGCACCCATAAACTTGTGCTTTTTTAGCACTGTGCAAATCACAGTCAATTAAAATTACCCATTTTGTTGATTGCAATAGCCAGACTTCTATCCAAGCATATGGCCACTGGGACAGTACATATATCATGCCATTCCTAGAGTAAGCATGTGCAGCATGTCAATGTCTCTCTGCCTGGTTAACTCAGAAGAAAGGTGGGTTGTGGCCTTGGGCAACTGGTATGATGTTACTGAAGATCCAGATGCAACTTCTTCAGACTCCTGCTCTATTAGCATGTGTGTCAGCCCCATTTCTTGTGTTCCCCCTTAAGCCACTCCAAAATATAGTGCCCTGCTGTATGTGTTTGCTGGCCCATGCATATATACTTCAATTTTTATATGATGTGGGCTAGAAGCAATCACATATAAGCCCTACTGCCTTCTTTTATAGGTTGTTGAGCTTCTGCCTTCAATAAGTTATGGAGATCATTGAAAGAGATGTTTCATCTGCTTGTGTAAAGGAACCAAGTGTGTCCAGCCAGCAGGGGTTCCCGAATATTGTGGCTTGTGATATAGAGGTAAGGAGATGAGCCAAATGTGAATGAATTGGTTGTTTTGTGATCAACTTTTCTGTTTAGCTAATGCAAATGTTATTCATTACAAGTTTTAATTACTGATCCCTGATAACTCCATTCAGTATTTACCTATGCTGCTGATTGTTATTAAGGTTGTTGCACTCATTGCTTTGTTATATTGCTCCATGCCCACTTTGCACCATCTGTTTGCAGAAAAATACCAAGAAAGACCAATATGTCCATGTATGCTTCTGGGAGGCAGACAGCCCCCTCAAAAGAAGATGATGGCATTAGCAATCTGTGGAAAGAATAACTTCAAGGCCTTGACTTGCAGTGCAGGCCACCTCTCCCCCTTTGGTATCATTTTTGGAATGTTTCATACATGAAAGAAAGCCTAATAACTCAGTTGTTGAGGCAAAAACAAGAGTTTTGTGCTTACACAATATTTCTTTTTTTCCATTTTAGGTAGATCAGCATGCCAAGTCAGCTCCTGCAACAGGCAGCAAGAGGAAGAGTCCTGTTTTGCTCGACAAGCAGAGAAACGAAAACAAGAACACGAAAGAAAACCCTCAGCTCCTGTTAGTGGCATCACATCCACATTTGGTAAGCAGTGCAATAAACTAAAGGTTTGCAACAGCTGATATATGACATCTGGGGCTGAGTGGGGCCTCACATGAACTGTGGTGTCAAATCAGTCTGGCCAGAGTACATTGTATGGTACACCAGAAGCTATCAGTGCTGCATCCACTCATCATGGACTGAGTAGTTTTCAGCAACAAGGAGCACAATTTTTGAAACATAGTGCTGTTTAGTGTTTGATTTGTACTCTAGTGAAGGGTGAAATTGGCCCAGTTAGCCCTTTGTTGTGCCATTTTGAAATATATAGCTGCCAGATGAAAACTACCAGAACGGCTGTTTGCATCTACCGAGATGAAAGCAAAACGTTGAATAAATATGAGCCTGCCACGTCGGTCGGCTACTGTTAACAGCCTGGCAAAAGCTGGAAGAGGGCTCCAGGCTGCACGGGTTCCCGGCAATAAACAGAACTTAGGCCCCGCCCAGCGGCAAGCCATTGTGAGTCAGGCCATAGTGATTTGAGCCAAGCTGAAATGCTACAAGGTCTGTACAGAACATTGACATTTGTATTCTAACCTTATCTCACTCTGTGAAGAGAAAACGTTGCAGCAGACTCTCGTGTTCACTTTTTGGATGCAATGCGATCATGCAAAACCCTGAAAGCATTATTCCAAAAATGACGTAGGAGGCGGTTTCACGACAGTCAGCAGTGACCTATGATATGGTTTGTCTGTTCCCACAATCACCTGCACAGTCTTTGTAAAAACAAACTTGTCCCAGTTGTGCCATTTATTGTTAGTACCATTTAGTAGCATCTTTTACATCCACATTTTCACTCATACTTTCTACTGTAATTTTAGCTGGAGTGTCAGGAGTCTTTGTGGTTGTCTTATCACGTGTGAATGAAATTATGTTGGGTGCAAACTTGCCACAGAAAGTCAAATTAAAATCCCCAAAGTCGAAGACAATGCCCGTGGGCTGTTAAGTCAGAACGCATGCACAATCCACGCACATGTCCGTACCCCGAAAAACTTAGGCTTGCGCTTCGGAACAGTGTCGTCTGCCCTGCGGACGACGAGCCGAAAATGGCACCGAGCAGAGCGGCGCGTGCCGCGGCTGTCACGGCGGCGTCCGGCCAGCGTCGCGCGGCGTTGGCGGCGGCGCTACCACTGGCTGAGGTCGACGGTCGGGATGGCCCGGCTGTCGCAGTCGGTGACGGCGTTGGCGGCGGTGTCGGCCACGCGGAAGGCCAGCGGCTGAACGCGCGTGATGCCGTCCACGTTGTCGCAGAGCACGCGCGCCCAGCTGGTGCGGCGCACCTGAGCCAGCTGCGCCCCGGTCAGCTGCCACGGCCGGTCGCCGCCCAGGTCGTAGAAGAAGTTGTCGCCGTGGCGCAGTCGGATGAACTGGTCACCAATGAGACGGCCGAAGGTGCGGCCCAGCGCCACGCCCCGGCAGCGGCCCGCTCCAGGACGCCGCCAACGAACATGTCCACGTCGTCGACGTGTCCGTAGGCGGCGCGCAGGGCGGTGATCGCCTCATCGGGCAGGTCGGAGCTCAGGTCCTCCCAGCGCTGGGCGCGCGGCAAGACCGGCCGCGGCAACGCGCGTCGTTGTACGTGGCCAGGCCGTGGTCGCGGCCGCGCTGGATATTAAGCGCCACCAGGTCGAGCCCGTACGCGTCGCCGTCGCCCTGGAACAGGTGTTCGGTGAGGTCCTCGGCGAAGTAGCCGTCCAGCGCCTGCGCCTGCTGCGCGACCAGGCCTCGTGCCAGCTCGTTGAGCGCTCAAGACGAGTAGAGCAGGTGCGGATCGAAGAAGAAGTCGCGCAGCAGTACGCTGGTCGCGCTGCCGCCCAGCGCGCTGAACATTTTGAGCGTGCCGGACACCATGCTGTGGCCGAAGCGGAACGCGGCCGTGGCGAACTCGTTGCTGATGGACGGGTTCAGCGTCGACATGTACTTCTCCGAGTGGGCAGTGCCGGTGCCCGGCAGCAACTCGTTGCGGGTTAGGAAGTCGGCGTCGAGCAGCGTCGGCAGCCATTCGTTGTAGGTGATGTGCTGCATCTGGGCGACGACAATGCGCCGCGCCTCCTGGAAGAGCCGCTCGTCGTCCCAGGTTGTGTGCCGCGCCGCCAGCGCCGACGCCACGCGGTTGTGCTGGCGCATCCAGATGGTGTGCGTCACCGTCAGGCTGATCTGCTCGTTGACGCGCACATCGCCCGCCTCGAAGCAGACGGTGGTGGCGTTGATGCAGCCGCCGCCCTGGGAGTCGGCCGGCAGCAGGCTGCCCGGCTGAGTACGCAGCCAGCCGCCGCCTAGCTGGCGCAGGTGGCGCTGGTGCGCCTCTTCCGAACCGTACACGTTCGAGCCGTCCAGGAAGTGGGAGAGGACGTTCTGCTGCTGCGCGTCGCGCGTCGCGCCGCACGTCGGCGCCGGCCGCCGGCAGCGAGCGCACGAAGTCCATGCAGGCCTGGCCAGCGGCCCGTAGAACGGATCGGTCGTTGGGATGGTGATCGGCAGACACTGCTGGGTGCAGCTGCTGCGCCGGCAGCGGCAGTCCGGCGTCCGTGCAGCAGGCGATGCCGGCGCCGCCGTCCAGCGAGAAGTGCGGCGTCAGCATCAGGTCGTGGTCGACGAACTGGCCCCACTGCATCACGGAGAGCGTGAAGCGGGCGTCGGGCACGTCCTCGCTGCGAGTCACCGCCTGGCTGACGACGCGGGCCGACGGCAGCTGGCCGCCGGCGGCGGAGCGCGAGCGCGGCTCGAACACGCCGTCATCGTACCGACTGGGCAGCAGGCGGAGCAGCGGCTGGCCAGCCATGCCCAGTTGCCGGTTCTCCGGGTTGTTACAGGAGCCGTCCTGCGTGCGGAAGCTCGGCTGCGATGGACATGCGGGTGTGGTGGGCGCCGGCAGCCGGATCCCGGACCGGGACCTCCGCCGCCGCCGCCGCCGCCGCCGCCGCCGCCGCCGCCGCCCGAACCACCGCCGCCGGTACCGCTGGGGTGTCGGTTCCGCTCCAGCTGGAGCAGCGCTAGACGTGCACTGTTCTGTTGCTCCTCCCTGAAGGGAAACTTGGTGCGGTGGCGGCGCGCCGCACCACGGGCAACACTGCCCTGCTCCAGCAGCCGGCGCTCCAGTTCGGCCTGCCGGCGCAGCAGCATCTCGGGCGAGGGCCGGCCCGGCTCGGCGGCGGCGGGGGCAGCGGCTGGGGCGGCCTGCGCCCGGATCAGACCTGGCAGGGCTCCCAGCACGGCATTCGGCGGCGGCCGGCAGCATACGCCGGCTGAGCCGTCCGCCAGTTGGCAGCTGCTCAGCTCTGGCTGGCCGGCCGGCGCCAGCGGACAGAGCGCTGCCGGCTCGCACTGGCAGCCCGTACTGCCCGTGCTGGCTCCGCCGCCACCCCCGCCGCCTCCGCCTCCGCCGCCTCCGCCGCCCCCCAGGCCGGCCGCCGCCGCCTCCACCTGCGCCGCCTTCCCCGCCGCCTCCGCCTGCGCCGCCTCCCCCGCCGCCTCCGCCTCCGGCCGGCGGCGCCTGTCGTCCCTCTGACGTGCGGCGATCCCGACTGTCAGCTGGCAGCCGACCAGCACCACCAGCATCTGGTGCACAACGACGAACGGTATGAGGGCCATATTGTGACGGACAGTGATGACAACGTCGCTTTTGCAAGAAAACGCAGGCTGCGCTTGAGGGAGAGGATACTTAGGGACCAGAGAGCAACAAAGCATCAGGATAATTGTTTTTTTTTCTGTCCGGCTCCGTCCGCGTAGTTGCTGTAGCAGTCATGGTGGTCCCGGGCACATGTTGGCGTGCAGTAACAGTACAGGACAGTAACAGTGCAGTAAGAAGGGTGTTGTATTACTATGTAACGTTTCAGTGGTTCAGCCAAAGCCAACAGACAACATAGGCACAATTATGCATCACAAGAATATAGGAAACCCTCGTCGCCTCGGTTCAGAACTACAGGTCTGCTACTCTTGCTGAAAATGGTAGTTTGTTTTATGGAACATCTATATGTAGTAGATACGATATATAAATACACACACACACACGCGCGCACGCACGCACGCACGCACGCACGCACGCGCACGCACGCACGCACGCACGACGCACGCACGCACGCACGCACGCACGCACCACGCACGCACGCACGCACGCACACGCACGCACGCCCCACACACCACACCACCCACACCCACACCGCACACCCACACGCACACGCACACGCACACACACGCACACGCACACACACACCACACACACACACACACACACCCACACACACACCACACACACACACACACACACACACACCACACACACACACACACACACACACACACACACACACACACACCACACACGCACACGCACACCACACCCACAACACACCACACCACACCGCACACGCACACGCACACGCACACGCACACGCACACACACACCACACGCACACCACACACACGCACACACACACGCACACGCACGCCACGCGCACCACACACGCACACACGCGACACACACACACACATTGCAACTAGCCGTGCTTGACAAGGGCTTTGAAGACGAGGTCATTCCTGAACAATTATTTGTTCAACTGTGTTGTTGCAAGTTATAGCGGCAATTGCAGCTGGTCCTGGAAGATTTGATGCTGAATCCGCATGTGCCGATGCGTGCATGCGTGCATGCTCGTGTGAATGAGTAGGTATGTGCGTGCGTGAGGACGTGCGTGAGGACGTGCGTGCTTTGGTGCATGCATGCTTGCTTCAGTATGTGTTTCGGTACGTGCGTGCTTGGTGCGTGCGTGCCTGCACGCGTTTTTGCATGCGTGTGTGTGGAATCGTTCATGACGTTAGGCGCATGCTGCCTCCACAATCTGGTGAACCACACTTCGATCCTAGAACTGCAATCACAGGGGCTGTCGCCGATCAAAACGGCTCTGTTGGAGCACAGTCCACGGCTCGGCTAGCCGCAAGCTGGGTGGGGGCCGCGCAAACCATGATCCCAAATACTCACCACTGCCGCTGCACAACGCATCTTGGCTGCTAGAGGCACGCTGCACAGCGTTGTCGTCGCCGGGGAGCGTCGTAGCTTTATATACGACGGCGGGGGCGGCACGCACATGTGCCGCCGTCCGTCTGTCCTGCATGTCACGCACAGCCCGCTGCGGCGGCACGGCCCGCCCTCCGAGGCGCAAGAGCGGGGCCGGCCACGCGGCCGCCGGCGCACGCGGCCGACAGCCGGCGCCGCTGGTCAGCGTGCGCACCCGCCGGCACACGGATAGGGCGCCTGTGGTGTTTTAAACGAGCGCTAGTTGGCGCTCAAGACGAGAGGCCGCACTCATAAGGCATGAGCTGCATTTAGATTGTACCAGGGAGGTGTGTTTCGGCTGGGGTTCCAGTTGAATTATCTGATGCATTAGTGATTCTGCTGGATCGCCCAAGCTCCATGTGATCCTCCGCCACTGTTGGAGTTGTTTACTACGCCTTTGCTCCGATGTAGAGCACACTGCTCATGCTGGTTTGCCTCTTTCATTGTCCTCGCAACCTGTCGTGTTGAGACAAATGAATGTATGCAAATTGTACTTGTTGGCAGACAAAGGAAAATGACGACGTATATGGTAGCACCTGTTTGCAGATAAGAGGAAATGGCGACGTATTTCCGTATTTTGTATATCTTTTCAGCATTATGAGCGTGGAATAAGGAATGCCCATGCAAGAGCGAGTTTTTAAACTTGATTTGGGATTTAAGGCCCATCGTAAAGCATAACACTAAAAATTGCCACCCCTGCAAGCGATGTCCAAATAACTCATTCAAGGATCTCAAGCGATGTCCAATAACTCATTCAAGGGTCCAATTTCGTATTCAGCTTGGGATAGCTTCAATCTCCACCCCCCACCAACTGTTGGGTGGCCCCAGCCAGCCAACTTTGGGATGAAGGTGGACCAAATAAATCCAGGGAGAAACACGCTTGTTGGGTATATTGGGGGCAAGTCGAGCCATTTTACACAGTTCATCCTCCCAGCTCACTTTGCGAAACTACACCCCTGCTTTCATTTGTACCCCGTGGCCTACTTTCTTGACGCTTGTGTTCTAACTGACTCTTTCATTGGCTACATTCACAAATAATTTTGCACTGAAGAAAGGCATTCTCGCCCATGTCTGGCGGGCGCTGATCAGGACGTGAGTGCTCTGGCGGCCGCTGATCAGCGCATCGCGTTCTGACGCGTAGACGGCGGCTGCGCTCTGGCGGCCGCTGATCAGGGCGTTCTGTTCTGACCCGCAGACGGCGACAGCGCTCTGGCGGCCGCTGACCGGGTGTCGTGTTCTGACCCGCAGACAGCGGCTGTGCTCTGGCGCCGCTGACCGGGGCGTCGCGTTCTGACCCGCAGACAGCGGCTGTGCTCTGACGGCCACTGACCGGGCGTCGCGTTCTGACCCGCAGACAGCGGCTGTGCTTGGCGGCCGCTGACCGGGGCGTCGCGTTCTGACCCGCAGAAGCGGCTGTGCTCTGGCGGCCGCTGACCGGGTCGTCGCGTTCTGACCCGCAGACAGCGGCTGTGCTCTGACGGCCACTGATCAGAGCGTCGCGTTCTGACCCGCAGACAGCGGCAGTGCTCTGGTGGACGGCTCCGGCTTGGGCTCAGCTCATCAGGCGATCGCATCCACCAGCAGAACGTGGCCGCTCTGGTGGCCATGTCCGAAGAAGAGCGACTCAACGCCCAGCGCGAGCTGGGCAGCCAGTCTGGATCCCAAACTGATGGAGTTTGTCAGGCAGCGGAGAGCCCGGCAGGACCAGGAACGCGTCAAGAGGCCGCCCCTCGCGCCTGCCGGTGATGGGCAGGCGTCGGCTACCGCGGAGCAGCCCATGGAAGAGTTCACCACGCTGGAGGCGGGGGAGTCCGAGATGGCGGCGGTCACAGACTCGCCGGCCGCGGGGCGATGCGGCGCCAGCGCCGGAAGTGGGCGAAGACCAGGCGATGGAGCAGCTGGAACGGGTGAAGGATCAGCTGCCCATCGACCTGGCCGAGGCCAGGCGGAAGTGGCCGCACATGGATCACGTCGAGCCGGAGAAGCTGCTGTGGATGACGCAACTGCCGGCGCCGAAGGTGGAGCACGGCCAGACCGGCTTTGTCGCCCGCTTCGACTTCGAAGGTTGGTGGGTGGGCAGTGCCAGACGGATGACACTACATGGCTCTGCAGAGCGCCGGCGTCTGCGCCCGTTGAGAGCGAGGGGAGGGGCGGAGCGGTTTGATTCACAAGCGATTTCACGACATCTCGTGTCTACCGGGAAAGGACCTCTTGCCTCTTTGTATGTAAAGAATGCGTAGCTCATGCCATGGTGCACCACTTCCGCGGAGCACAGTCGACTTTATGTTGAAGATCAACTCATTTTCTTAAGCTGGTTGTCGGGGTGTGTCCATTGTCGTGTAAATGGACAATGGACATAGCTTTTTGTCGAGGTTGGGGTCTTGTTTTATTGAAACAATGTGTTCAGGTAGTGCGTGGTAGCCCACATGGATTATTTCAGGATAGCAGGATAAAGTTGACGAAGCACAGAAGGCTTACACTCGGAGCTGTATTACGTTATACTCGTAGCGTTGGCTTTTGACATTGTTCTTTGCATGCTTCTATATCTTCCTGGGCTTGGAAGGTAACTTATTACGAGTCACTTATGCTGCTTTTGCTGACGTACATGTAAGATTGCATAACTTTCAAACTTCGACAGCTCATTTTTCGTTGTATATTAAGCGTTTGTTTTACAATTTGGGAGCACGTTTGCCACTTGCTGACATATCCACTGCGGAAACGTTAATCTTCGACGGATGAGTTTGCAGCACCGCCTACGCCAATGCGTTTGACACTGCTCACGAGACGACCCCAAAAATAGGCTGACAGCACAGGGACTGAAAGGTTCTCCGTGGAAATCCAGGGTTCAGAAGGAGCACACGAAGAGGGTTAACCGGCTTTGCGGAGGTCCGATGGCTGCTTGTCCCACCCGCACCTGCACCCGCACCCGCACCCGCACCCGCACCCGCACCCGCACCCGCACCCGCACCGAACATGTCGAGTACAAAAGCATGTGTTGCTGGTCCGCGTTAGTGCGCGGCAGCGCCCATCGTCGCGCCGCCGCTGAACTGCAGCACTTGTCGCCGAGCCGGAGGGCTGTGGAGTGTACACACCCACAGCCGGAGCCGCTCCGCCAGCTGAGCGCTGACGGGCGCTTCTTAAGCCGCGAGACGGCGGCAGCGGCGCGTGACTGGCTCTGCTGTCCGCGCAGGCGCACTGCTGCCGTTCGCCGCCGCGCCGCCGGCACACAGCGCGCTCTACCACCACGGCCAGGAGCCGGGCCGCGCCGGCTACACGGTGGACGAGCTGTTCCGGCTGATACGCTCGGCCGCGCAGCAGCAGCGCGTGCTCGGCCTCCAGACGCTGGCCAACGTACTGCGCAAGGTAGCGGGCGACGGCTGGTCGGCAGGCGGCGCGCCGCCGACTTGACCATGTTACTCGTGGTAGGGTACACTTTTGCTGAACAAAGATGAGAACTCTGAAAACGCAAGCAGTCGCAAAGTATTTGGAAGGAAAGGCCTCCATAAAGGCTGCAAACATGACTCATGTGATAAGTATTTGGGGTATGGTGAAGGGGTAGCGCTCTCATGTGGTGCATAGGTAAACTGTCAGAATAAGACTGGTTGCCATTACCAGTTGTGCTATGCTGCCCAACCTAACTCGTGGATGGGCTCTGTACAACTTAAGTGTTCTATAGGATATCGAGTTCACAGATTTCGTTTCAACTGAACCTGGACCAAAATCATTCTGCACTTAAAATGAACGCGCATTGACCACTGCACCGGCTCACTCTTGGCATTGGCTGCTGCAGCGTCGTGGCCGGACGGTGTGTGTCTGACGCACCGGCGCGCCGCGGCGTCGGCAGGCCAAGTGGGCGTGTACGACGGCGTGCTGGAGCCGCCGCTGCTGGGCCGGCTGCTGGACGCCGGCCTGCTGCTGCTGCTGCGCTTCGCTGTGGATGACGCGGCGCGCCGGTCATGACCGCCGGGCTGGCCGCCCTGGAGGCGCTCATCGAGAGTCGGCCGGACGAGGTGGGTCCTGCAGACACAGTCGATGGGACGAGGTGAGTCCTGCAGACACGTCGATGGGACGAGGTGAGTCCTGCAGACACTGTCGATGGGACGAGGTGTGAGTCCTGCAGACACTGTCGATGGGACGAGCTGGGTCCTGCAGACACTGATCGGACAAGTGGGTCCTGCAGACACTGTCGATGGGACGAGCTGGGTCGTGCAGACACTGACGGTCGGACAAGATGGGTCCTGCAGACAATGTCTGTGGGACGAGGTGGGTTCTGCAGACGCTGTTGATGGCACAAGCTGAGTCCTGCAGACGCTGACGGCCGGACGAGGTGGGTCCTGCAGGCACAGTCGATGGACGAGGTGGGTCCTCTAGACACAGTTGGCCGGACGAGCTGGGTCTCGCTCGGTCGGGAATCCAGTTCGTCGGATTCGCCCAGCTTGCCCCCGTTCGCCTCCACAGCCCAGCTCCGCACACGCTGTCGGCCGGTCGGTGTCATTGTCCGCGTGGTCTGACCGATCTTACGGCATTTGGGACTGTCAC